CCTCTCTCTCTCCCTCACAGCAGAAAGGCTAAGAGGACTGGGATCTGGAGTGAGACTGTCAGATTTTGAATTCCAGACCAGCTGTGTGACCTTGGGTAAGTCACTTAACCCCTCCGTGACCTCATGTCTCAATTTCCTCATCTGAAAAATAGTGTGGTAGCTCGGGTCCTCCTAAAAGCAGACCGCAGAACAGAATCAGATGTATGGATAAAGCAGGGGGCAGAAGTGGTTCTCAGCGCAGCTCTGGGAAAGTTTCTGCCAGGCCAGTCGGGCTCCCCAAAGCAAACGTTGCCTGTTGAAGGATTCCTGCACTGGGTAGAAGTGCCCGCGCTCTGGTACTCCTTTCCGGCTCAGTCATGGTGGGGAGCAGCCCAGGGACAGTGTGACTTCTGGAGATTGTCCGTTTACTGAGACCCAGCAGGTTCTCCTGAAGGGAGGCCTGAGCAATGCATTTCCATGATGGCAGGGAGCGGGGTGGAAACTCTCTTTGTGGGGATGGTGGGAAGGTGAGATGAGGGAGCACCTGAAAGCCCTTAGCCCAGCACCTGGCTATAGAAACACTTACATAGTTTGTATTCCATTTTCTTCCCCCCCCCCAGCTCTTTTTAAAAAAACTTTATCTTTATTGTTGAAAGTATTACAAATGTCCCCGTTTTCCCCATTGATCCCCTCCATCCTGTACCTTCCCCCCAGGCCTGCACCCCACTATTGTCTGTGACCATGGGTTATGCATATATGCATATAAGTTCTTATGTTAATCTCTCCCCGCCCACCCATCCCCACCTTCCCTCTGAGATCCCTCAGTCTGTTCCATGCTTCTATGTCTCTGGATCTATTTTGTTCATTTGTTTATTTTGTTCATTAGATTCCACATATGAGTAAGATCATGTAATATTTGTCTTTCTCAGACTGGCTTATTTCACTTAGCATAATATTCTCCAGATCCCACCATGCAGTTATAAAAGGTAAGGGATCCTTCATTTTTACTCCTAACTACACTAAAAAAATTAAAACCAATTGCACACAAATATTTATCCTCTTTAACCACTAAAGTAAATGGGGGCAACTGAATTTCTAAAACAAAATAGCTTCAACGCTAGAATCTTTATGCCAACTTTAGCCCAGAGCAAATTTTTACACTGATATTGTTTGTTCTGGAAAGTGCTGTTTTAATGGAAATATTGTCAGACCTTTATCTCCAATAAAGACAT